AATTGCCAACATTCATTTTCCGAAGTGTATTGCATTGGTACCAGAAGATAATACCTCATACAATTCCCATCAGTTCCGCATGCAAATTGCAAATAACAGAGAAGGATTTACATGTGACGTGTACAAATCACGAAGATATCAAGATATTATAAACTCTTTGGTATCATCCCTAAAATATTTCAAAACTGGCGAATAAAGTAAAAATACGCTGACACAGCTTTCTCACCCATGTTTCTTTTGTACTTCACAGAAACGCTTCAGAAAATGCCACAGGTTCAGGTTGAGCGTCATGATTTTTATGATATTAGGATAAGGTGATCTTGCAAGTAGGCTAGCACTTGGAATAGAAAATGCAGTTTATAAATGTTGTTTATTTAGCAACATCATTTTACAATGCAGAAGCCAATACATAAAAAATAATATGTTAATGTAAATCGTACGCGAAAACGGAATCATTGATCATTTGAACTCGAATTGGACATTTTGAAATCGAGCCTGGATAAAATTTTGCAGTTTAAGTCTTATTAATTGTCCATCGCTTAACTATAAATATGCGCCAGTAATAGATTAAACCTACTAAACCTATCTACCTGGGAGATCGGCAAAGAACACTTATGCAAAGATTTATAAAAATTGACGTTGTATTTTAACGGAGTAGACGGAACGTGTGTGCAATGAATAGCACAATAAAAACCTACTTATTTTATTGTTTATTTTTGTAAATTGTCATACAAATCAAAGTTGGCAAATTGAATCAATCTATTTGTATCGATATACCATGAAAGTATTGACCAATAGAAATAACCCTTGATGCATATATAGTTAGCAATTGTATTAAATAACTCAAATTTAGTTTTTATAAAATGTTTTGAAACGTCGCATTTTTCAATCGTTACTCGATTCTTGATTCGGAATTTCTGTCTGGCGTGAGTCATCGCCTTAGTCTCCGTGACGCAATGGAGCATACCTGGATAGGTATGCGTGGTAGCAGAGTTTCACTCGCCACGTACGACAAGTATAATATCTTTGTCTTTTGCGGCGGTCAATATCTTCTTTAAATGTAAAATAGGAGACTGAAATTCGATTTTCGGACAACGCCCAACACGACGAATCCCTCGGACGCAGTTTTATACGTTCAGTGGTGGCTTTAAGTAGGGATCAACTGATTCGGCCGTAATTCTCTAAACTAATTATCAACTGATGTGTGGAGTTTACGTAAGAACACGCCGTTCGCCCACCGAGAAAAGTCAGCATGGTGGATACTTGGATGAGAGATAGCGAAATTCCTAACATTAGGCTAAAGGTCCCGAAAATCACGAAAAAACAATATTACGCTTACTTCGAATGATCCACGAAGCGTAAACGGGGATGGAGCGGAACGTACCAAAGAAAATCCAAATTAACCCAGTCTTATCGCAAGCGTTTTTAGAAGGTAAATAAAGTTCAGGTATTGTTGCATGTGAGTTAAAATAAGCGGCGTGCGCAGTGCAGCGAATCAAGGACTGATTATGGTGGTTTTGTTCATTTTTGAAAAGCGGAAAAATCCTTAAAAAGAAACTAGTGTCTTTAAACGAGCTCGAACGGAATACGCATGATCGATCTCACCACAGAAAAATTCTGCGCGCTATTATATTGTCGGTTGTATGCATGTTACAAATATTTGTTTCATATTATTAACCTGTTTAATGTTTGTGGCGATTGCAGTCATTACGTTGTTCTTCAATCTAAATAAGTTACAATTGACTTTGATTACAGGAAGAATGCGTGATGGAGTTACTTAAATGTCGGGTAATAATTTTTATATTAGTAGGTGAAATAGAAACAGGTTTATAATAAAGGCAAGATGTTCACTAAAGAGTTCTTCATTTTGGAACGTGTATGTAGTCTTTTAAGGCGAAGTAAGAAAATAATATTGAAAATGAGAAGTTAACATTTCAATACGTTTCGAACGCGTAGTTTATTGAAAGTCTTTAAAACTGTCTGCATAGTTTTTTGACAGACTGCGCAATGCTGATTAAAGAAAATGTAATAATGTTCTAAACATGCTTCTAGTCCACTGTTCGGAGGAATTCGTCCTTCTAATATTTAGAATGAGTAGTACGTCTTTCTCCGGACGGAAGGCAGGAGAATTTTCAACAGTATCTTGTAGTGTTTTGTGGCATAGTCTAGTAACTGTTAAAAAATGCATTCCTGTTATTATTTAATATTAAAAAGAATGCTATTTTATTAGATATTGTAAATGTAGTCAAACACCAGCGACTACTGTCACTGTCATACAAATTTTCGTTCAGATCACGTGAGTAGCGCCTTTTATCGGACACGGTCTAGTCCTACACATACACAAAATGTACGGACTCCGAATAGAAGATTTAGCGTTACCCAGAGTACAACGCAAACCAATGGTTTCATAATTACGAATAATGGCAATTCAGCAAATATTTGTATGTTTGTCCCCTCAGAATGCAGTTGTTGTTTCAATCAGTAGCCTAATGCATTATGATATCATTTAGGGCTGCTTTATATGTAAGCTTACTGCGGACACCTACGCGTTACAAGTTATTTTCATTTGATTTCTTCAAGATTCAATTCCTGCAGTGTTATAGAATATGACAGGAATTGCAAACCTGTGACCATTTGACCACAATTTTAGGCAGCTACACGTGGCGTGTACTGTAGGCCTACTGCAAATCAAGTACAATGTTTCATGTAGGAACTTGTTCTCTGATTAATGTGTTTTAATGTCCCCAAACTAAATGAAATGGCGATAAATGTGCCACAAATTGTGTAAACTTTGTTTTAAAAATTAGGAGAACTAAAATGCGTGCAATGGTGATAGCGTCCGTTTTGGAAAGGAATTTTACTTTGTATTCTCTGTGATAGTAATAAGATTTTATATTTATATATAATATAATGCTTATTCATGAAATGATAATATTGAAGTACTTAAATTGTACAAAAACCGGAGGGCGACTTGCGCATAACACTATTAAAAGAATCCATTGGCGATTGAACAAATAAAGTAGTTTTATTCATTGGGATGGAAGAATAAAAAGTTTCAAAATAGGCAAAGGGAGGAATTCAACAAAGCTCGGGAACCACAGGAACAGTGTATCCATTCCAGTGTAGCGATGTTTTATGATAAATGTTAAATATTTGGACCTCCAGAAGTATGTGCATCAAGATGGCGCACAACATGAACATAGTATGTGTACCGGGTTAGGGTTCAGGTTGTGCGCCATCTTGGTGCACATACTTCGGGAGCGACAAATATTTTTGGAATAATTTTGCAATTGCTGTTTAGTAATTTTCAACACTGTACACGAATAGACGAGAAAACAGATGAGAGTAAAGTGATGCGCTAACTTCTTATCCACTTGAAACCAACAGATGTCTGTTAGATATAGTATAACGATAGCTATACAGCAAAATAACTTTCTTTTCATTTCCTGTGCATAAATAAAGCGATTGAAATCGTTTTCATACCAGATATTTATGAAACTTTTATCGCGTTTTTTTTATTTCAAACAATATGGAATCAGGGAAAGCCTTTCGAAAGAAAAACTAGGTTGAAGTGTAATATGCAAATACGCATCAGGAAAATATTTTAGATGATACTTCTGATGGAAGCCTATGTCATAAATAAAGAGAACTGAAAATGGTTAAAATTACTGCTTGCGTGTGTCCTTCAGAAATGGGGAAGGCGGATACCAAACTCCATACTCGGTCAGACAGTGGTTGAACTGTCAGACTGAGTGATTACACCCATGACGGGCAAAATACTTCCCCATAGCGCTTTACACAAACTAAATCTGATAATGCTTTTATATATACTTGGTACATAATATTGATTTATACTCATCTTGGCCAGGCATTTATCTGGTGGGTTGCGTGGCTCTTCAATATATTCTCGAGTGAGTGATGCTTGTTTTCGGCAATAAAAGGCAAAAAATATTTTTCCTATCCTTTTAATCGGAATTAGATATTGGAACCTTGGTAAAATTGTGTGTTTACCTTTTTTTCGTAATTTTTACTGGCTTAAAAAAAAACAAGTTTGACTATAGTGTGAGAACAGTCAGCAAGCTTAAATTGTCACGACATGCTAGTAGTTTCTCGGAAATTTAACACCGAGTTTTCAGTTCTCTTATCAAGACTATTCCGATGAAAATACCTAAATTAAACTGTTTTTGGAATATATTAATAAATATATATGCTTGAGCAACGACTACATTTGTGAAAGTTACACATATTCAAAGATTACTAGTTTTGCCGAAAAAGCTTTTCGGTACGAAACGATGAAAGAGGCTGTGGTGAACAGCATGCCGACGATGCGCGTTGACTACATGTTCAAAATGTCACCGAAACCAACGAATGGATCTTTTCCCTACCAATATGAACGATCTATATATAGGGAGCTTTTTACCCTCCCAGTTCAAGGCGTTGGTCAGATTCGGCGAAAAGGCTAATTGTGCCAAAATGGCAACGCAAAAATTTGAGATATGATACGAAAACGATGTTATTAAAAATACAAAATCAGTGCCCGGCGAAGATCTCGCAATCAGTCCTTGATGCAATAAATCACCGTTTTTGAATATTTTGTTATGTTCGCTCGGCGGTGTCGCACATCGTGCTAAGCGTTAGAAATACGCTGACCATCGCACCTCTGAATACACTGCGCGGGTCCGCATCTCGTAAGGAATAATTATGTGCGAGAGGCTTGCTGGACTCCTCGCAGCCGTTGGGAGGTCTACGTGAACGCTGGTTGGTTATGACTTTCTCCACCATCAAGTCCATGCATCTGAAACAAATAACTGGCTAACTAATCCCATACCCGACATGGACTGGTAACCAGACGAGTGTCCGTGGTTCGTCATATGATTAAGCCGTCTTATCGGCTTCCCCTCCCATAGATCCTATCATATCCTACCTTTTAATTTCATTACTAGTAGACCCAACGAGTCACCTAAAGCTATAGTACACCATGTAGAAAACTTCTCACAACATACCCGTGTATACGATATATTTCTCAGTATATTCCATTTATAATAGAAACTACATAATTGCACTTCACCATTTTAAACAAAGAAAATATTTGTGACCGTGATGCAAAACAAACAATCCAGACGAAAAAAGTTATCTAATCATATACCTCAACATGTACACAATCCTGCAATAAAAACGATTTCGTTTAAAAATATCACTCCTACTGATAACGGTCAATTAAATCAACGATAGCAATAAGATGGAAATTGAATCATACTTTTTTTCAGTGATTGCTGCTATTCATAGGTTTGTCACAATCGCAAGAAGCAACAACAATTCTTAAATTCAAATTTAACAAAAAATGGCGCGAGAAGAAAAATCAAAATAACTAGTAAAGTGACAATTTCTGAACGAAAAACGAACGAACTTTTGTTCTAAATGACAAACTTTGTGACAATAAGATCCCGACTAAAGTGTAATATGATGACTGCACAGACTGGTTGGAAATAAACACTTAGGACTCAAAAGCACTGAACAATTGCCTTTTTACATATCATCCATATTCTTACAGAGTTATCTGAAAAACTGATTAACTGTTTACCCGAGATGGCAAATCTGTCTCTTCCCACTCAGAGAGAATTGGTAGAAAAATATAGCTACATGCAGCAGCATTTTTACACGAAACTAAAGCAATAGTAATGGAATTTCAACAAGAGCCATATAAAATAAATACACACGATATAAAATCTTCGATTACTTAGTGGCGGCAAGTTCTGGCTATTTAAATATGTGGGAGCAATTGGGTCAGGAACAGAATTAAGATATTCAATAACTCCACATCAATTTTTGTTGGCTCTAGAAGATGAAATACAAAGCAAAACATACCACTTGATCTAACCATCTTGATTACAGAATGATAGATTGAAAATCTACCAGTATGATGTGTTCTGATGTTTTGGTCAGAGATTAATTTCAAAATAAAAATAAACACATTTAGAAAAATCAAAACATATGTCAAATTTTGATATAAATCACCATCTCTGCACAAAAAGAAAACAAAATAAAAAGTGTTTATCTAATTTCTCTGTCTTCAGAATGTCTGGCCAGGATTTCTAAAAGTATGCCTATTACAATTTTTTTATGAATAGCATAATATATTGAAAAATGTTCATCAATAGAAAAAAAAAATCTGGTAAATATAGAACTATGGTTTTACAACTGATCATTTCGAAATATTTCCGAGTATGCTAGACTACTCATAGGACTGAAAAAATATGATGGATCAAATAAGGTAATTTTTGATCAGCAGCAAAAATATAATTCAAAGAATCTCAAGAACGTAATTGCAAGATGGAGGTCGAAGGTTTTCGTAGATTATTTTTATAAATGTTTGTTAATCGATAAATTAAATTTTGAATTAGACATGTTCACTAGCTGATTTTTTGTAAACGAAAAAGCCATTTTGAAATCTGAAAATTTTTATTATTCACTACAAAGCGAAGTATTACATATACTACTATACATTTTGCCTAGTAATTAAGATAATTAATCTCTCCCTTCAACATTGACTTATTTTTATGCCAGACTGTGAGACGTTTAGGAATTTAGTCAAAAAAATTAGGGAGAGAAAAATCTAGCAGTAAATCTCCAACTTTTACCTTTTTCTTGGATGAGATGTAATCTATCCATTCTCAAAAAATAATTCAATTTTTTTTTTGGATTGTACATCACCCCTTTCCTCTTTATAGTAATACAGAAATATTTTTGGGATACATGCAAAATATTGCTGCAATCAAAAGAATTTAACTAAATGAAAAAAACACAAAAAATCAACTTGAATATGCGACGACACAGTTTAAAAGGACTGGATGACATTGGTACTTGGTGAACTAGAATGTTTGTACAATACTTCACCGTTTATTTCTACAGATTAAATCATACATGTTTGCATTTAATAAATCTTAATGGAACTTTAAAGACTGGCCACAGGCAGTAAATCATGTTAAAAAATTATAGGAGAAAAACAGAAAGTTTCATGTCCAATATTTTGATAAAATCATTGTTTCAAATGAAATTTTTATTCGCAGATATCATAACCATCAGAATAGACTTTTAATCATGGACAGTGATGCAAAAGTGAGTTTGAGCAGGGACCAAATATATTTCTTAAATCATTCAACTATTTTATTCTAATATCTATTGCTTACTTCAACTATAAAAAATAGCTGATTTCAGCTGATTTACATTCCATAGATAGTATTAATTCCCCATCATGATTCATGACATTCAAGTTGAAAAATAATTGTTGAAACCAGTGTTTGTTTATCTTAAATCCAATATTGAATGGACCAACACAACACAGAAAGTTTGTTGAAATACACATTATCAAAATTTATTATCCTAAAAGGTTTAGGTATTAATTACATTTACACAATAATTTGAGCCGTAGCAATTCAATTTTTTCTGACCGAGAATATGCTTTGTTTCACGGTGCCCAAATAGTCCTCAAAATTGTTTTTGTGACAATAAAATTTTGTTCACCCTAGAATATTCACTACCTAACCATATCAATTAATTTTATTTTATATTTAGTATTTGTTAGCAAACACTCATTTCATTGTGTTGTGTTCAAATTCTTTCTCAGATATTTCACCACCATAAGAGTAAACGTTGAGTATAATATATCTAGATTGGGATTCTCCAATATTAAGATTTGAACTATCATCTATTGATTGCAAACTAATCAAAGAAAATCTATTGAAAACCTGTTCTGAAAATCAAATAACGTTTCTTAATTTCTACCAAAAACTTAATGAATGGAACAAATTTTAAAAATACAATAATTGATCTATCTATGGACCAAATAAAAGTCTACCCCATTTTCAGTCAAATTAAAATCAATATGGGATCATGTACACACAAAAAAACAATGCATTCACGACAATGGAATGACTGTATTAAATCATTAAAGAAATCAGCATATGACTGAAAAAAAAACATCTTCTTATATATTCACTTAAACATTCATTGCAACCAAATAAAATAAAAAATAATTAATACAATAGTACGTCATTCAAACTTCAGATAAAGTTAAAGTAATCCTAGGTTTATCATTACTTTGTATACTGTCTTTTGCATATTCAGGTGATTGTGGTGACATGATACTTTTTTTACCAAATTTAAAAACCGAGTTTAGTACGGATTCCTTTTTGTGGTGACTTCCAGCACTTCTTAAGTCTGGTGACGATGAGTGATTGCTGTTCTGAATCAACGTGTTAGTTGTATTGTTGGAGAAATTGTTATTGTTTTTATTCACATTTTGTGTGGTCGTGTACATTGAAGTAGGACGATCGTTTCCAAGAAACTGAGAAACTGCTGCATGTGGAGCTGAAGTAAGAATATAAAGTAAGATTTGAAAAAAAGCTAAAAATGCTACCATGGTTATTCATGGGGTCTTGAGTGTCAAAAAATAGTTGAATAATGTGAACAGGTTTGGAGGACAGAAATCTTGCGGATTCAGCATGGAATGCGTGCACAGTTGAGATTGAAACTCATGATACCATCAAAGCAACCAGGCCATAAAGCGTTTTTACTATGTCTAAATTTTAAATAAAAATTTCGAACGATGTAGTATTTACAAAGTTAGATTTTCCCAATAACTTCATTCAACTACCTGCTTGGTTATTATAGCAATATCTAACTGCATGCAGAAAAATGATGAAAAAAAAATTGTGGTGTTTTCTGTAATAGTGCATAATATTCCAAAGTCAATTTTATATTATATTCATTATAGTTTGTACCTGATGTCTCATTGAGATTATGCATTGATGCGGACAGAAGTTTGTTATCTCTCGACAGTGAATTATTCCTATTGTCCACAGGTAACTGTGCCCTTTCAAGTTCCGCTGTGATAAAAATTTGATGAGAGGTCAAGTAAAATCATGCCATAATACAATCAGGTCTATTTAGTCTGAGTTAAGCTGAGGGTAAAAACAATACAAAATGGATAAGACTAAAATGCTACTTATACCCAAGCCGTTATTGCCATAATTTTGAGTTTCCCAGTATGAAAAACTGGAGAAAGATTCTGTTCGAATGACTTTATGATTTCAATTACATAGGCTTGGATAGTCATACAGCCTATTCAAATTTGTATAAAATGGTCTATTAGTGCATAAATCGAAATACAATTATGGGTACTCCCGTAGTATGTGTACCGGGTTAGGATTAGGCCATAATTTTATTCAGACTTTCCTTATTTTAGAAATATTACGAGTTCGGGGACTGTTTGTGATAGCCAAGTGAATATACCCCCTGCCAATTCCGTCATTTACACAACTTGATGTAAAGTAGGCGAACAGAATTAGTTACTTCCATATTGATACACAGACTTCTGGAGCGCCCAATTATGTGATACAAGATATATGTTTATATTTCCAAATAACTACATATACTTGTCTGGGTTGATATATAAAACATATAAAAATAATTTCAATATTAAATCAGCATTTTTCTACTAACTCTATCATCATAGATATAAAAATGAAATCCATGAGTGAAACACTGTAAAAAGACAATATGACAGATTTCATGTTTAGTTTACATGGGAACACCCCCAGTTTTAGATTGTTCCAAGTATTGTTAACTACTAACAAATTTAAAAAAAAATAAATAACGGAGGAAGAAATTTTAGTTGCTATACCTCCGATCCTATATGTTTCCATTTGTTGAACTTCGTTTATACTTTCTTTCAGATCCGTTACAAACTTATTCCTGTCATCTTCATTAGGAGCATTGAATGTCACTAACACTTTGTTGTCCATTGTGTTGATTAGTCTGATACCAAACAGATAATCTACAAAAAGCAACACAAAATACTCCTCTTAATATTAAAGATGTAGAAAAAGACTCCTAACTTGACAAAATCTAACCTGGCTTGATTCAAATTCCACATAAGCTTGTACCCATGACAACAAGTTTATCATAAATGAATCGCGCAGTGGTTAATTATTTATTTACAAGAACAGAGAATCTGATTTGACTAATTCCATGTTTGACTTCATTGTTTTTACCTTCAAGCTAAGCTAGAGCTATATAGATGTTTTTATGTATGGCTGGTACCATGAAATATTAGACCACCATATGTGAGGGGTTACTGATGTAAAGCCTACTTCCGAGCAAAACTATATGGAACTCGTTCATAAAATGTTTTGAATTGAAATATTTGAGATTTGTTATCTGATAGAACAAACAACGTACATGTTGTTTCGAAGAGAAGAACATTCATTCCTTGTAATGGCAGAGATAATTTGAATCCATATGTTGAACTGTTTTTCTTTCTTTGCAGAACTTTAGTTATCTACAAAATAACAAAAAAGTCACACTGACAAAAATTTGATAGTCAGTGTATGATGTTCAGAAGAGAAATGTACCGATATATTGGTAGGCCTATAGGCCATTTTTTCCATACCGTATTTGTATTGGTGTAAAAATATACTGATAATTGATATATTCAGCTTTTTGATCCGATCCAGAGTGTTTCAAAAGATAAGTTAGTAGGCGAATGTTAATAACTGAAATTATTTGTCGTGGAAGGAGTATATAAGCAGCCCACCCTCTGGACCACAAATGGGTATTATGACGTTGCGGTATCTGGAATTATGGTGCTTTATTACAATTCAGAACTTCTTAATGTTTATAAATTCCAATCAGCACCAAATATACTTAGATTAAAATTTATATTTAACACACATTTAATGGGATATAGATTATGGTGCCATAATGCATTTAAAAATTAACGTGCCGCGTTTTGCAAAATACAAAACATGACGATGTACTAAAGTTTTAAAATTTGTGCATCGATTTATCAAGAGCGAATGCCTATGATTCTCACTTGTTTAGGCTATTACCATACAAATTATCTCAATTAATTTGACATTCTTTGCATTTGTACAATAAACCGTCAGTACTGAGTCCATTGACTCGCTTTTTCACATCTAAATCACAAAAATCGATTTATCATATTCTGAGATATCTGTTTTCTTTTCTGTTAACTTCAAACTCAAGAACATTGTACATACGTTGATGAAATTCACAAATTATAGGAAAATCTGCTTTTTAAAATACAGCTTATATTTTTTCATTAGTATCGGATCGGTATCAGTGGAAATAAATGCATTGGTAGTTCTCTACTTCATATAACCCTTCAGATTTAGGTGTTTTGATCCAGATGTTAAAATTCAAACCTTTCCTAGGCTAAAATCGAACTCAGAAAATGCCGGTGCTCGTAGACCCACCAAATAAAACTGGTCAACTATATCAAAACAATCCTCCCCCAAATAAATAAACAATGGGATATAAAAAATTAAACAAATATAAAATACGAAAAAGTCAAAGCATTACCAGGAGTAGGTCATTAAACAAGAAGACGGCACGTTGATGAAGTCCAACTTTCTGAGGTTTGGCAGGATCAGCTACTTGATATAATCTACAATAACACACGAGACGGCGATGTGGAACAGCAAGAACTGGCTTTTTCCCAATAATATTTTTTTCAACCTAAATAAAAAGTGTTCAATATGGTTGAATATTAAAATTTAGATGCTTTGCAACCGCCCATACTAGGAAAAAAAATCAAATTTCATTCCAATTTCACCAGAGAGAATGGGAAATTTTAGGTACTCCCGTAGTATGTGTACCAGGTTAGGGTTAAGCCATAATTTCAGGTACAAATACTATGGGAATCACTTGGCTAGTCCCCGAACCAATAATAGAACTTAAATAAGGAAAATTGGAATAAAATTATGGTCTAACCCTAACCTGGTACACATATTACGTTCCGGTGTTCGCCATCTTGGTTCACATACTACACAGTGTCAAATTTCAATAGTATATAGGCCTGATTACATTGCCACTGGGACCGGTCCAGCAGACCACGTATGGGAACTATTTCACGCTTCAGTGGTTCGCCTGCGATTCAAATCCGTGCTATCGGTCAACAACATCAGACCACCTATCGAGGAGGTCTGGAAGTGAGCTGCACTGGTCTTGCTCAGTTGCCTCATCCTGCTACTCGAGCTATTACTTACGTTGATCGGAGGGGTATGGAAGTTGTTTGCCTTTTCATCTCTGGTAAGTGAGTTGCTTTTTTCAACAAATAAAAATTTGGCCAGATAGTGCAAGTTTAATTTAAACATCTTTCGCATCTATTAGGTCGCTGTTGAACCCAAATTTGAAATACCGGTACCTGTACTGGTGGGATCCCGGTGCGGCAAGCTGGGTTGTTGTTTTGAAATAGAAAATAAAATCTTAATGTCTAAAGATCATTGGTAGGAACTGAGCGCAATACGACCTATGTTGATAAACTTCAGTTTGCATTGAGGAATTTTATGGAATTTCACCATACAGCCATACCTCATCCTAGCTGGCACCAGCAACCTAACTGTAACTTTACATACCGGTACAAATTCAATGCTTCAGTGTCGGTAACGTCGCAGTAGTAGGGCGATATTAAATAATGAAAGTGCATCTATTGACATATGATGAGCCCACTTCACACAAAGTGTTTGATTGATAAACTGTCAATGTTTGAATTTGGTTCCGAGTAGACTACTGGTAACTGTAACCTACCGTAATTTTTTGTGAATGGATCGTGTGACATAAGGTGCCGTTGAACGCTGAATGGACGGCCAAAATGATCCAACTCGTCTACCTTTTATGCCTTTAATTAATTTGACGTTTTGTTCTTAGATTATGAGCAAATTTCAACGGGAAAGCAACACCTCATCATATTCTGCAAATAACTTCACAGAACTTCAATCAAGAACGTGCATATAGTTTTGATACTTTAATTAACATTTGTATTGAATTTATGGATTCATTGAAAATAAGATATATGCAGTGTTTGCAAATCACGACTCGTTTTCTTTAGTCCGGCAGCTCTAAAACTGTTCTCTGATCTCGTTAGTTTGGACATGTAATCGAGGGCGCTAAGTGGTCTCCGAGACTACTTTGACATTTCCGAATCGAACCGGTTCACTCTCTCGAACTTGATTATATATATTTTTTAATTTGCTTGAACTGGTTGCTACACCCGTTTTAGAGGAAAAGTTCATAATAAATTCTATGAGAACGTTATAAACACAAATCTAAGTAAAATCAAATTATGTGGGATTCTCACAAAATATTTAATATCATGTGTTAGTGTTAGGTATTCCATACCGCATATCCAATAGTACATAATTCTTCATAGGCCTACTGTAAAAAATATAAATCACCCACGTTTAAAACCTGTGTCACATGATCATCATCAGTTTTTAATTCCTCATCACGTATCCTGTGATAAGTATTTCTTAACATTGTTTCGTTCAGATCGTCACCACCGTCCACTCCTGAGTTTAAGTTCGGTATATTTTAGAAAGAGTGGCATAATTGATAATATTTCCAAATGACAATTTATATATTTAATAAGCATTCGATTATATATCTGATTACCGAACAAAAAATGAACTTTATCGAACTTATGGCACTGTAAAAACTAGTAACAAAAACACAATTCTTATTCCAATTCCCAACTATTGTATATTTGGCATAGATATCATGAAAGTCATGGTAAATACGTTGAACCATGCAGTGACTCATCATAGTAGGCTTAGTTACTAGATTCAGCAATAATTACATGATTAGTAAAATTCACTTGCCATATATGACTCAAACTTATAATCATATTGAACATTTCAAAAACTGAAAAAAAAATGAAAAAAATATGTAAATGTTGAAAGAATTATTAGATTAGACTGTATTTGCAAAGAGCAGTGATGAAATGAGACAATTAAAATTTGACTTCTCATTAGAATACCTCGTAGATTTTTGATGAAATCATCCTCAGTCATTCTTTTCTCTCTTTTCATGTTGGGTGAATGAAGATCAGTGTTGAGCATGATAATTGCAAAAGCGAGAATGAAAATTGCATCAGCGTTTTTTAATGACTCCGCAAGTTTTGGATTACATACACAATACCGTTGTGAAAATGTCTGAAAATGGTCAACGCATTTTTATAATCCTGCAATTGTTTGGTTTGGTTAAACAATAAACATGAAAAAATGAAAATTTCACATAAGATGTTTTAGCAATGTGCAAGACAAACAATGCCTGAGAATGCAAAAAATACCCATAAATAAATATTGCATCATGCGCACTCAAAACTATGTTTCATTATCATACAACAAATCACTAGATCATGCCTTGCAAAAAATATTTTAATGGGATTTCAAGATCTGAATTTTAAAACTTTATTGAAAAAAATGTCAATACTGATGAAGTGGAAGAATGATTACCTCGACGAGTTTGTCAACTTTTTGGGCTTCCCCTTGAACTTTAATTTGACGTTGGAAATCGCGTAAAGCTTCATCTATTTCTTGACCACTGAAGTCCATTAACTCACAAACAGAGCTGAAAAAATTTATGGCATTTGTATTAATGTTTGTACGGAAGAGTATAAAATCCTTCATGCATAGCAAGCACACATATACACACTACCACATTTTAATTGGACATACAACTTAATAACTAAAAATAGGCAAAAATGAAAGAAATATCAATCAATTTAATAAGCTGTTTCCTCTATAATTAATACTCGGCATGCAGCAAACTTATGAATTGTGTCACTGACAATTCAAATAAAATCTGGCAGTATCAGATAGAGTATTTCAGAATATTCAACGTTGTGATATAAAAATTTTAGAAAGCCAAAATGACATCTTTGATATTATACATGCGTGGAAAAATTTGGCCAAAAATTACTGAGAAACAAAAAAAATTAGAACATTTTTATTGTTTGACAGTAATAATACCTGTCATTATATGTCATAATATTTTACATTTATTGGCAAGTGGAAATTATTTTATTAAGGCTATAGCAAGATCTGTTTGCTTTGACTAATATGAAAATATCAATGCAACCATATTCTTGTTACGCCCAAATCATCAAATGTTGGCTTTTGTTTACTAAAGAACATTCTTCGGTAAGACAACAGAACATGTCAGAAATAGTCGACCACACTTTGCCTATATGCCATAGTGTACATACCGTCACCAATAGACTCAGCAAACATTGTTATATTTACTATACAAGGTTATGGGATATTTATTTGGTTGTTTTATAATATTTAAACTAAGCTTTAATTTTTTATGTCTAGTACACAACTATATAAATGCTCCAAATAGAAAAAGAATTGCCAGAAACAATCAATGAACAATCTATAAGCTAGGAATTAAATCCAGAACTGTTTCCAGGATGTTTCAAAAATATTTCATTCAATTTTATAACTCAATCAAGCAGGCACGAGATACTTACTCAAGAACATCTTGATTAAATCTCTTCTGAGTGTTTCCAAGGTATTCACCGACCATTTGCCGACTTAATCCTTTACGATTGAGTAGAAAAGTTGCAACTGCTGGAGCAGTTCGCGCAATAAATTTATGTTCAACAAGAAATTCAATTCCTTTCTCTGGTTTTCTGCAAAATAAGGAGAATTTACCTTAACATTTTATTTAATTTCCCTTTAATTAATATTTTCAATACATTTAGATCTGCCTAGGAATATAATTTCTAATCAAAATTGATCCTGTTTGCATAAAAAGATACCAAACTATGAAAAAATGCAAAGAATTTGATTTCAAAACCAAACTCAAACTACTTTCCAAATATTGTTTTTAGAGAATTCAATTTAAATAAACAAAATTATCATCATAATGAGATTGAAAACAATAATTTCGCTTATTTGGCCAAAATTTGTAATAAAGAATAAATTTAGATTCAACGCCTACAAGTTTTAAAAAAGTGCGAAGTGTTTAAAAAAAATGTAATGCAGACCTATAAACTGAACAATACTTGAAATCATTACTGCCCGAACGAACACTTTTAATCTGTCAATATTGTCTGTTTTATTTATTAAACGGTTGTCTTGTATGAATATTCTTGAAATTTTGGAGAAAATTAAATTCCATTATAATGTCCTGGGTATGACCATGACTGCTTTTTAACATGGTAAGATTCACGACTATCCTATACATTGAGATAAAACATATACTGTATATTTAAAATTTACATGTATTTATATTCCAAATAAAGTACTTCAAAATGATTTTCTAAATGCCATTCAATACATACTTGTTAAAAAGATTCAGTCCTATTCGATACAATCTCTTTCTCATGATGTCATTATTTGAATCGATATGCCAGCTACCTCTCGTACTTAACGTACTTCTCCTCTGATATGTTTCAGCTATTACGTTGTTCGAGAACTCACTCTGACCACTTGCTATACTCGCTGTATCAGAACTAAAATTTTGATGCAAAAAAAAAACAGTGATGTATGAGTATTATAAATAAATATATGTACAATGAATCTATTAGTACAGCTACTGAAGAAATTAGGGACACTGGAAACATTGCAATATCACATTCTAATTCATGACAGACCAAGAATAATAAACAGGAAGAAAGATTAGAATCCAATAGCCTATCTGACTAAAATTTTTGGGCTTATTACCTTGTACTAAATTTGAAAAGCATAGTATAGAATAAGCAAGAATAGTCTCACTCCCAAAAAGTTCTACACTAAATTACATTGAAATGTTCATTCCATCATTCCATTGTGTCATTTTAATTGTTTCAAATAATATTTTGAAGAAGACAAATCAATTATTTTGATTATGGGTCCAATTTAAAAAATATTAATCAAAGTATTACAAGCTTCAAATATAGACAGTTAGGAATATGCTTGTTATTGCACCTGTGATTACAAATACCGTGAGGGGAGGGGGTGTGTGATTATGTGTGAGAGATTTGCTTGAAAGGATTGTTCATGTAACGGCTGGTCACCGTCACCGCTTCCTCCACCATCAAGTCTATGCATTTGATACAAATAAGCGGCTATCTAAATCCATACCCAACATGGACTAGTAACTGGACGAGTAACCATGGTCATGCAATGCCAATTATGCCATCTCATCGACTTTCCTTTCACCTGGGATAAAGTTGAATCGTACAACTTACCTTCTGAGACTTTCTTCATCTGCCTCATTATCATAGCTCACTAGGCTTAGCTCCGACCCGACACGTTGCCAAGCATTATATTCCGATGTATTATCCGTATCACTGTTTCTTGAACGTATTGAAGATGTCGCAATAGAATGACGTAATAAAGAAGTATCATCTCCCCTTTTCAAAGTTCCGTCATCACCTCCATTTTTATCTTCTTCTTTCTTTCCCGATTCACTCTTACGATTGGGCAATACAATAGTTTCATATCCATGCCCTTTACGTTTTCTGCGTCGTTTTACAGATTCAACATCGGCTATTATACCTGGCATTGAAATTTGAGACAAAACGTCTTCAATTTCATTGTCTGTGGCTTTTGGAGTGACGGGTTCGTCACTCTCTCTTTCTTTGCTAGTGTTATTATTAGAAAAAAGTTTATCAAAAATTTCTTCTTCTTCATCATTATTTAAATTAGTTTCAGAGTTGGGATTGTCCTCCACATTTTTATCATTTTCATTCTCGTTGAAAGGATGCTCCAGAACGAGTTCAACAACCTCTACCTTGGAGTTATTGTCATCCTCCTTAGGTTCTGTTAGAATGAGTTTATTTTCTAGTGTAAGGCGACGAGTTTTCGATTTTCTAATTTTTCGAAAATTCAATTTCATTCTGTATGCTCTGTACGCTTCTTGAATAATACGGGCGGCACGCTCACAATTATCAGCCCCTCCGTAGAATTTCTTAAAAAAATAATTTAAATTTAGCTTTAGCAGAATTCATAAACTGTTCACTGTGATTATTATTGATATATTATTAATTTTTTGCCAAAAGTTTTTAGTAAAATATCAGCTCTGCAAAATCCCCAAAATGAGCTGTATTACTGATCATATTGAATTCATCTACATAGGTCGGTATAATTTCCCCGATATCTGTAGATCATCTCTTTTTGATATTTGAATGTTAGTGGCTCATTCAGCCAGCCATTGAAAGGCAGTCATACCCGAAAAATGCAAAATATACCGTTGTAATTTATTATGATATTCGTATTTCTAATAAATCTTCATGATTCAGATTGAATCAATAAAAATCTGGACTCAAGGGATATGTATATACATGCATGTTACAAGATTTTTTATGATTTGCTAGAATTATATATTGACTTAAAATTATATTATTCTCTCAAAAATTCTGGAATATAAGATAAATCTACGATGAAACAATGGAAATTTATGCAGTCGCTCAGTCACCTTTTTCGCTCAGACAAATATTCAAGCATGGTTGTAAACATTGGCCTGTTTTTGTAGTTTCGCGTATTATTTGGGTTTCCACAAATTAGTCGTAAATCAAATAATTTAATTATCATTATGCCTTCCTAGCAGCTTTAGTTTAGTTACAATATTCAAAGGTAGGTAGATAGATTTCACCGAGGTCAAGGGTCGGTGAAAAATCCATTGTTAAAGCTTGTATTGTAGCCTTTTTGAAAAATATTTTTAAGTTCAAAAATCTCGAATTAGCATTTTATTCAATATTGCTTTGACAAATATCAAAGAATTTTAGGACATTAAATCCAGCTAGAGCAGTGGTTCCCAAACTAGGGTCCGCGAACCTTTTGTGGTCCGTGAAGTACTTTTCGAGGGTCCGCGAAAGAAATCTGTTGGATGGCTCAAAGTTTGATAATGCAAAAATTAACTGCTTAAATTTGGAAAGACACATTTATCGCATTATGATGCTTTACAATCTCTGCTGAGGACACTGATTCTTCACTTTTTGTTTCGATTAGGCTTTCCCGATTGTGACGTCACAAAGTTATGGCAGCTCCTGCCACGAACAAACCGCGGCGTCTCATGCCATGGTTTAATGGCGCTATAATTTAGTAATCAGTATTATCGGCATATTAACAAAGTCATGCGCCATATTTTTGTTTAATATACCAAAAAAAGTACCAACCTACTCATTGTTTGTCACCAACAGGGGCAGCCCTGCCAATAGATCCGACATGCCTTGGTTACGGCATCAAAATTTTACCCGACATGATTTTTTAATTTGCTGCCGTGGTACCGGTTTGGGGCAGCTAAAAAGTCAGTAGCCGTGGTTTAACCGGAGCTCCAGAAGTAATCTATGTGCACCAAGATGGCGCACAACCTGAACATGGTATTGTGTACCGGTTAGGGTTCAGGTCGTACGACATCTTGCTACATATGCTTGGAAATCCCGCTAAATACTTAAAACTGCACTTGGAGGTGTAGATGGCGCTGCCTTTTTGCATGCTTGTTGTTATTGGAGAGAATTACAGTAGGTAATTGATAAAGTATGCCACTCCGTTTCTAAACGCTGATTTACGCTTTTGTTTTGAAAGGTGGATAGCGTTAAATATAGCGCACTACGTTTTAGTTTTTAGATGTCAAATTTAGTCTTTGACACACGGTAACGGTAGGCATATATTTTTACGTTCTCAACTCTGTATTATCAATTTCAAAATGTCTTCTAAAATTAAAATTGAGATAATCGTATAAAATTTTATCGTGATAAACGCAGGTGAAGATATGTTTTGCACTACACCGTGTGGAGCATTTATTTTTGTTGTGATCTTGTTTTATGTCATATCTTTCTGTCTTTCTTTGATAATGTTTTATTTTAGTCAATTAGTGCACAGGGCCGCGAAACAAAATTGCAAGGGGTCCGTCAGACAATTTTTTTGAAAAAGTTTGGGAACCACTGAGCTAGAGCATGGGTAACATTAACATTCTGAAGAAAAGCCTTTCTGACTTTCAAAATTTAATGATGGTGGGAATAAGTGACATACTCGAAGTGCTTCGATTTGTTTATCAAATAAATCAGAGCTTAGTTCATAAGATTCAGTTCTTGTTCTGACATCCTGTTCTTCTAGATGTTTTCTCTGGAAACTACTCGATCTTTTTACTATGGATGAAAGATTTTCCTCTTGAACTACAAAAAATAGAGAAAAAAACGTCATGAAGAAGAAGACTTTTTATTCTTATTAATGAATATCAACAAGCATCTTCTTCCTTCTTAAATTTTCGAAGACCGTGTTTTTCCTACAACATTTTCATTTAATAATGTGCGATTGTGAGACAAAGTAGGGGTTTCAGGACAAAGGAAGAATATCCTATGTTAAAATTGTGAAAAACTTCCATAATCTGAACATATCACAAAGATATACCGGTAGTTGCTTTATGAATTGGTATTCAATCATAGTTTGAGGCAGTATTCACCAAAGTATTTCAATAAAAAGCTACGATTTTCAAAAATCAAAAGTATATTTTTGCTCATTTTCTCAAAGCTTTTTAAAGACTCACCCTTTTGGGTTAAAGCGCTTGAAAGTACATCCTTCAGTCAAAATTTATTATTATTAAGTCAAATCATTTAAGTTTATTTTGTATTCTATTTTATCGAAGTTATTTACCAAACGATTGATACGAAGCACTTGATATGATGCTGATTGTCTTCGTCAGGAATGAATATTTTTCAAGCAATTAGATTGATAAGTCTTGACCCATTTGACTTATAAAAAGAATATGTTGCGAAGGAACATTACATACAGTCCTATTATATCAAACCAAGCAGAAAAGCATATGCCATAAAAATCAGTACCTAGCTTCCTTTCTTCAGTGACTGGGGAAGTAGGAGGGTTTTCTACAGTGGTTGAGCTTCTTGATGTTAAATCTTGACTGCCTTCCAAGTCACTGGAATAAAAGATTAACAAATTTCACAAAGCCTCACGAACCAATGATAACTGAACTTATAAATTTTGTTGCCTAAAGAATTATTTGTAAACGAAATGGACGTCATTAAAAAAATAACCTTATAATTAAGTGACGATTTATTTCATAAAATTAGATATGAAACATGACTTTGATCAATTTTAAAATGTTAGAAATCAATTTCGTACCATGCATTAAATATCATATTCATCGTTCAAAAACATTATCAATCATAATTTGATAGTTGACACTTCTGCCAGTTTTGGGTTAAAACTGCATAAAAAAATGATCCGCTCAAGTCATCCAGTTTATCTGATAAACTGTATCTTATGCATCAAACCTGGCCAATCATACTGTTTTCCAATATCCATATATGACATGATTTAAATGTTTCTCTGTTATAGCCAATTCTATTTTTATTAAAAATTAGGAACTTGAATCAAATTGATCATGTCTGAGAAACGGCTGCCAAAATAATATGAATATGATTACAATATTTTGTTGCTGCCCAAAAAAACACGACTTTGATTATCAAGATACATTCATATTTGAAAAATTGATGTGAAATAAAAATAAATATATATGAAATAAATATATAGTCATTACAAAAGGGTAATATTAAAGCAAGGGACATGATGAAATATTATTAAGGCAGAATATCTCTTGAGCAGAAATGGGAAATGCTGTTTATTATGATTTAAATGTATGAAAAGTTTGAATTTTAATATTCATAAATAAAATAAATTTAAGATGAGATCACGACACTCTAAAAATCTTTTATGGGAGCATGTTTGAATACTAGTAAAGTATTGAAACAATGCATTTTATAGATATAGCATTTTCATAACTCGCAACCAGCTCCATTAACTGGTTGTATCGGCAGGCATGCCTTTACTTATATGCCCTGCTTGCGCTTTTTGGAAGTGATGTCATATTTACTTCCTGCTTGAATTATCATTGGTAAACTGAGATATTTTTTAGCAGGCTGATCACTTCATTCTGCGTTTCTGATTTCGAAGAACACTTGGCCAGCTCGGCCAACTCACTGCATCGAGATTATCAAAATAAAATATTCAATACACTAAATGTAATAAATACATAATGACTAGAGTAAAATAATAAATACAACTTGACTGCTGACTTCATTGCTTATTTTATATTGAATAAAAAAAAATGAACTTTCCTCATAAACGGAAATCAGTAGTTGAACTTTTAATATATATTCAGGACATAAACGTCAAATACTTCATTGATTCTATTTCATTCAATAAAGTTCAAAATCAATAGAGAACTTTCAATGCACAATTGTTTGACCACACACACAAAAAGGTGAAACTATTTATGACAGTACGTGACTTTTGGAATAAATTGATTCAAATATTGACTATTTGAATTGGATATAATTACTGGTCATATTTTGAAGGGTATTGAAGAAATATTTAATAGAACATATATTATGGAAGTGACTCAGAAAAAGAAAACATGTGTGTGGGTGTTATTTATATATTTCATTTAAACGAATTCTGCAGTAACGATTATAAAAATCATAAAATATTACAACATAAGATAACCTGAACTAAGAAAAATTGAAATCGAGTCTCAAGAGTCTCTGATATTAAGATTTGTAATGCAGTTACAACTAACTGAGTGAATAACATATGAGCCCAAGAAATGCCATAGTCGGTATAAACAATTGATCCAGCAAATACTGATTGGTTTGATTGCGCCATACTTAGTTTCGAAATAGGGCTTAAACACATCAATTGGATAATGAACATGAAGAAAACAATAATTCGAGGTAAAATAGGTCGGCGTGACCAGGATTTTTTGCATATATAAATATACTCAGAGCAGAGCAAAGCAAGAACTGACAACAGTTATTGAAACAATGCATTAATAACAATATGAAGAAAAAAAACCTACTTTGCATTGTTTTGTTGCTGGCTTCGAAGAACAGCATTTTCTTCTTCCAATTCCTTTATTTTTTCTGATTGAGTAAAAATAGTTTGTTCTTGCTCTTGTATAATGTTCTTCAACTGTGCAAGCAAGCTGAGAGCACTTCTTGGAGAATCAGCCGCCATCATATATTAACATAGTCAATTTGAACTTTCTAGAAAATGAGTTCAAAATAAAGAAATTCTTCAAGAGATTTTCTTCATAGTAATATCACAATCTTTTGATCAAAATTTTACCACAAGAATTTTACTACGATTTCATGGCGAATCGGACAGATACAATATGAGCATGGGGATAATGTAATGCGCAATTAAAGCGCCGTGACAATTGAAAAAACAAATCCAGAATATGACGCTATTACAGTATTGACTTTAGTACCAATACCAAGCTGACAACATACCACTGCACTAATAAACTAAATAAATCAATACAAGGTTGGGTCAATGATGATGGTGAATCTAACTTATGATTCTCGTGAACTGCTGAACTTCACACATATTCTTCCCATATACTCAATGGTCCCTAATCTAAAGATATTCCCTAATCTAATTATACAAGAAAAAATACCCACAGCAACAACTTTCATCCTAAAACTTTGCTTTTTGAGCGATTTTATAGAAAGATAGCAAGTATTGGATTGTTATGATCACGCAAATGGCCCAAAGCCGTAACCTTCGAAGCAGTGGTTCTCAATCTTTTTTGTCTTCAGAGCCTCAAATTCCAACGTTTAATTAAAATTGCAAGGATTCGGATAAAAACAACGCAAATTAAAATGGCAACAAAATGAAACTCAAGTAGGCTGTGTATTTTATAATAACAACATCAACAAAACTTGGTGTAAAAACCAATTTAACGCTAAACTTGACATTGTCTTTACTTATAATTCTGAAGTCTGAAAAAGCGAGGCGCAATTGTGATGACCCAACAGCTATGATGAAATCAATTTAACTACTGCACTTCAGTTTTTAAATTTCAAGTCAATGAATAATATTCACCGAAAATGATTAATTTTTCGAAGGGTAATGAGATCCGCAGGAAGAATAGTTGAGAGCCGCGGTTGAGAATCACCGCTCCATAGTGTAACATGCATGCAATGAAACTAAATTTTGCTTGCCTCCAAAGAAGCGCTCTTTAACATGAAATGTCAAATGATTTCATCAGGAAATCATAGCCTCAGTAAATACTGGAATAAAACAGATGTTTTCAATTTCAACATACAGACATAGACTTGTGGATTGTTTAAAGACAAAATACAGAACCACTTTCGCTAGTACAATAGTATTTCGTTTCTTTCTTATTACATTTATTGTTTGTTTTCAGTCATATGCCACTACAGCACTACCTTGATTTGTGCACTAGACTATGCCTGAGAACCTGAAGTCTCGTCGGCACTTTCAAACCAATTAGACTATAGAATTATGCTATGTGATTAATTAATCATTGGCGATTGTTACATTCTTGCAACCTATAGCTCAAATACCGCACCAGAAGGCAAACACCCTTTTCATTTCATGTTTCCAGTGCCCAATTCAGCAATTTAAAAAAAATATGTTTATTTACTTATTTTTCTAAAATTTCTAAATCTCTAAAATTTTTCTTCAACTCCATTCAAAGTTTTTGCCCTACTCCAGGAGGCAAGTGCAGTTTCAAGTATTCTGTGGTGTCTAAAGCTGCCGCAAAACCATGGCTGCATGGTGGGATTTCCAAACCATGGCCGCTATACAGCTAGGACAAACCTATAGCGACTGACTTTTTAGCTGCCACAAACAAACCATGTCTGCATGTGCGAAGCAGCATTTTCAGCTGAACTAAAATGATGACAAAATACATAAAAAGAGGTCGAGACTTGCCGTAGAGTCGAACCTACGAGTTTGCTTGTCACAAATTGCCCCGAGAATTGACAAATTGTGGAGTGGATAGCAACCTCATCCACCAAATCAATGTCGTTTGTGTTGTAAATGAAACATCATCCTTCCTCGTTGTTTAGGCACAGAAATTCATATCGTACGGTACCGCATAGGATTTATATGGCTGTATGGGGAGGATTCCGTCAAAACTACTGAGCTAAGAATCACAAACAGGGATCCGGGGCCTAAAAACAACATCCGGTACCGGTAATCCATTAAAAAAATTTAGGTCTAGTATAGTTTGGTACCACAAGTACTTCCAGTTGGCTTGCATAACGAATTTTACATATGTTATTCATAACCCCCACCTGACTATGCCATCCAAAAATTACGTCACTACGACGTCATCATCACGTCATAGGGCTTGTCAAAGTATAATTACGATCGCCCAAAATGGCATCTGCGCCGCTGATAACGAACTCGCTAACGCCGGCGATCTCTCTCCTATCGGGATCGTTGTGGCGAAAAAACGAGAGAAATAGCTTGCTCGATTTCGGATGATCGTCTGCGCGTTTTGGACTACCGGTACCTTCCGCATACTTTGATGGGCCTTATTACGCCACTGTGACGTCGAAATGACGTAATTTTTCGGTGACGTAGTCAGGTAGGGGTTAGGATTGACATATGCAAAAATAGTTGAGCCAGGCCAACTAGAAGTGCATGTGGTACTGGACTATACCAGACCCAAAAATTTAACTGACCACCCTACCACAACTAACCAAATCAATATCGGATGTAAACATTATCGGGTCTGGTACCGGTATACTTTGGCAATCCTTACCGGTACCGGTATGACGTGGGTGACGTAATTTTCGGATGACATACCTGCATACCGGTAGTCAGGTGGGGGTTAGGAATAGCATATGCAAAATTCGTTATGCTACGCCCGCCGAAAGTACTTGTGGTACTAAACAATACTAGACCCACATTATCTTCTAACGTTCCCTTGTAGTCATTTGTGCAAAGACTCCAGAAACTCACAAGCTACTGCTGAACTATTGACAAACTTGACTTTTTGTGCAGTTCGCCCCTATGACTGGCAAAACTAAAACACAGCTGGACCTCTAGCACTTCTAGTGATTTTGTCGGACGCCCAAGGCCAAGTAGGCACGAAATGGCTTATAAATCGTTTTCGTTATATGTTGTTGTTGTTCTTCTTCTTGTTTTTTTCTTTTTATTGCTATGAAAATAAAATCGGATTTCGTTTTAACTACTGAACCAATTGCTTCAAAATTTTAATTGTTTAAAGATTGTATTTTTTTGCTAGAAGGCAATTACCATTTCGTGTCCATATATTTGAGCATAGTTCTCTTGTTTATTATTACTATGTTATTTATTAATACTATATTTCATGTATTTTGTATAGTGTATATATAAAGTAACTCTTGTATCACTGTCTCTTCAATACCCCTACACCTAAACCCCACACCCAGGATTTAATATATTAAATATGACGACGAAATGATGTGATATCAGAAGGGAATTTGCTGGTATTGATGGTGGTAGTATTAGCCTACATGGTATTGGAGCTAAGCTAAAATTGTTATTGGACACGAAATGTACATATGGATCATTGTGTTATTACGTTTATTATTATGTTGTTGTTGCTCTTGTTAGGCATTATTTTCTTCTTTTTCTTGTGAAAAAAATTGCTTTTCTCATCACTAACGGACCAATTGCTTTGAAATTTTCAGTGGTTGAAGATTTTATTTTTTGGCAGAAGGCTATTTCTGTGGGCTCCATGGTGCGATCAGAGCCATTATATAATGGCTCTGGTGCGATTGCGACATCCAAATCGAAAATTTCGCACCTTGTGGAGGATCCGCGTACACCTTAGGGGTCAGGCGACTGTGGTACCGGAAGTCTAATGTAAGAGATGTACGACGGTGTGGAGCATCGTGCTAAGAGTCAGGTATACTCTTGTCACCGCACCTCTGATTAATCTGCGTAGGTTCGAATCCCGCGGGGGACAAATATGTGAATTGCTATACTCCTCATCGCCGTTCACCTAACCTCTGATCGGTTACGGCTTCCTCTACCATTAAGTCCATGCATGGTTATGTGCGAGAGGATTGCTGGACTCCTCGCCGTCGTTGGGTGGTTCACGTAACCGCTGGTCGGTTACGGCTTCCTCCACCACCAAGTCCATGCTTCCGAAAAAAAACAAACAATATAACTAATCCCATACCCGACTTGGAATGGTAACCGGACGAGAGGCCGTGGTTCGCCATATGGATAAGCCGTCTTATCGGCTTTCCTCTCCCCCGGGATAAATATGTAAATCCTATCCTATCTAAAAACAATCAATTGGATAACCAATCCCATACCCGACATGGATGGTTGCGACGAGAGGCCGCAGTTCGCCATGCGATTAGGTCGTTCTATCAACTTTCATCCCCCCCGGGATATTGTAGAATCCTTATCCTAACCCAGATTGCATTCCCGTACTACTTCGTTTTGGCTTTGGGTCCATACATTTCGCTCTTGATGTTATAAGTAATGGCGCTAATAATTACCAGGAATACCTGCATGTGTGCCAGACTGAAAGCAATTTTCGCTACACAGTGCACATAGATGCAATGCAATGGACCTTTCCCCGAGCATCGACTTTGGCTAATCAGCAAGATGCAAAAAGCGACGTAAACTTTTCGCACCCGCTCAGACAGGTTTTCAGGCGTGGTCGTAAACATTACCTTGTTTTTCAACTCTATTCGTTAGTTTTCAGTTGTGTTTCGGAAATTTAAATATAAATCAGATAATTCAATGATCACTCTGTCTTCCTAGGAGTTTTAATTTGATCGCAGTAATAAAAAATTAGTGTAAAATAGCTGTGATAGACTAGGCTAAAATACCGGTATCTTTATAAAACAGATTGTTGTATGCGATGAACCATAATGATGGTTTGAAACACATACCCCATTTTACAGACGCCAACTCGAGAAAGCACTCTAAATAAGCCCCGAAAATGTTGCAATGGTAAAGTATAGGAAGAAATTTGCGGAAGTGAAAGGTCCATTAGAGAAAATATAATGTGCTGAAAACACTCTCGTCAGCCTAAAGTTGCCTTTTGTGAATGGTCCATGTCGTAACACAGTTTTTCACGCACCTCACATGCGAAGTCCGGAATGAGGTTTGGATTCCAGATGTAAATTTAAGGTGTCGGAGTATTTACTGAGAATCCCGAGATATTTCGGGATTAATAAAAGTTGTACGCATATATTGAATATTTCAAAAAGTACACACGTTTATTGGATACAAAATGGAGCTATGGA